GTTATTTGTAGCTGTTTTGTGTATGTGTGTCTGTGCGTGTGTAATGTTACATGTGTGATCATGTGTATCAAGGTCAGAGGCCAATTGTGGTGTTATTTCTCAAGAGTAGTCTACCTTGGGATTTTTCTGTTTTGTTTTTTTTTTTGTTTTGTTTTTGAGACAGGGTTTCTCATCAGGTTAGAGCTTGCCAAGTTGCCTAAATCACCAGCAACCCTGGTGTTTACATGTTTCCGTCTCCCTGGTGATAAGACTGTAAGCCTGTGCCACTGCATCTGGGTATTTTGTGTGGGTTCTGGGACTCAACTCAGATTATTATGCTTGCGTGGCCCCCATTCTACCAATTGGGCTGTCCTCTCATTCCCTACAAATGTTGTTTTACCTTGTTCTTTTTTAGATTTATTTGCTTTACATGGCTGGCTTTTGGCTGTCAACGCATGCATGCCTGGTACCCTTGAAGGTTAGAAGAGGATATCAGATCCCATGGAACTTGAATTATGGATAGTTGTGAGCCACCATATGGGTCCTGGGAACTGATTCCCAGGTTGCAAGAGCAACAAGTGCTTTTAACCATAGAGTCAACTCTCTAGCCCTGTTTGTTCAGTTTTTAACTTAAGATGAATGATGGTTTTGAAGGCCCTTACAGTAAAGAATTATTTGAAAGAGAGGAGAGGGAAGGAAGATAGTGATCTTTTATTTGTATAATTATCAATGATAAATTATTTTAATTTTTTGTGTGTATGAGTGCACAACCATGGTTGTTTATGTGGGCATAAGCATGCCACAATGCAAGTATGGAGGCCAGAGAATAACCTCTGGTGTTGGCTCATCTTCTACCTGGTCTGTCTTTATGTGGGAATTTGAACTTAGGTCCTCATGCTTGGGTGGCAAATGCTTTTACACCAGTTTACCTCCCCAGACCCATACTGAGATTTTAAAAGGCAAATCTGGACAGTCAGCTCCCCAAATGGCTGCTGTGTCATTCTAAGAAGTCATGGTCATAGTGGATGGGCAGTAATAGTGGTTTGAACACTGAATAAAAGAAGCAAGACATTTATTCCAGCAAACTGTCCAAGCATAAAGACAAGTAAATTTAGAGACATTTAGCTCAAAATGGCTGGTGGAGAAATAATCTATTCATAGGAATAAAGATGCAACTGTTATATCAACACATTATACCTAAACGAATAGTCTTAATGTTATAAAGTATAGGCTTTGATAGAATTTCAAACTAATCATTCGATTAAATTCATCCATTTATCCATTCCACAAATAGTCCTTACTATGTGCCTAGCAGTCTTCTGGAAACAGATACAATTTAAGATCACCACCCTGTTAGCAAAGGCACATAAGCTAGTCAGAGACACAACCATGAACAGAGATTTAGAAAAACAGTGTTGCAGTTAACACATGGTAAAGAGGTATACAGAGTTGTGGAAAGATAAACACAGAGCAAAATGCACAGGAGATGACAGAACCAGGGTAGAAAAAGCTTCCAGAATACCATTATATTCTGGCTCCTGAACAGGATGTTACCAAGTCTGGTTTCTTTCTCTGTAAATCCCATAGATGATGAGTATTCTATTTTTTGCTTTTTCATTTGGCTAATCCTACACGCTGCTAATCTCAGAGCTAGGTACCAGTATTAGGGACAAGTGGACCTCAGGGCTGCTGATTTCTGTGAAGATGGGGAGGACTTGCTGATGAATGGGAGCAGTGACCTGGAACATCATTAGAGTGGAGTGAAAAATCCCAGAGAAGCCTCGGGGATGTTTGTAGATCATGGCTGGAAGGGGAGACATCTAGGTGTCTGTGACATCGACACATGCCACTATCGCAGCAGGGTACATGAGGGTGAAACTGTGTTCTTCAGTCTCAGAATAGAAGGCCCCTGCAGACCTTGTACCTGTGGTAGATTCATGAGAAAGAGTCAGAATGAATGTGTGTCCTAGGAAAAGCCTTATGGTTGCAGCTTAGAAATCCTTATTTACCAGAGGCTGAGTCTGAGAGGAAAGTAGCCTGCCTGGAGTCAGACTGCTATTTACTAAGAGAGACAAAAAAGACAAAAGAAAGAAAGAAAGAAAGAAAGAAAGAAAGAAAGAAAGAAAGAGAGAGAGAGAGAGAGAGAGAAAGAAAGAAAGAAAGAAAGAAAGATTCTAGAAGAAACCAGTATGGAGAGGATATATTTAAGGCCAGGCCAGCTCTACTGATTCTGCTTGCAAGCAGACCCCAGATACAGCAGTGTTCTCTCCTGCAAATGTTCTGACTTAATCGAACCCTTAGCCGGGTTTAGAAAACCTAGTTTCTTTCAGGACACCATTGATTTACTGGGCATGACAAATGGCATGGTACAAATTTGTTTCCTAGTGAATAACAATTGCTCACCTTCCATACAAAGCTTTTCTCTACTAGAGTCCATATTTATAGCTCCCTACTCCTCTCTTTCAGAAAGCTGCTCTCTGTAACCCTGGCTATCTTGGAACTCTGTAGACCAAGCTGGCCTCCAACTCTGCGATCCATCTGCTTCTGCCTCCTGAGTGCTGAGATTAAAGGCAAATGCCAGCACACCAAGCTCAGCTTCCTCGGTAGAAACGGGGAAAGTGGGAACACTCACCTCACAAGCTTACTATGAGCATTAAATGAGATATTTTGAACACAGAGAACTACAACCATACATAGATATCAATCAAATCACACATAACTAAACACTCCTTTAAAAATGCTTGATACAATTCATTAAAACTCGGTGCTTGTGAAAATTCACTTACACTGTTTCAACTACTGTAAACCCTGAAATGCATCACATTTCTTCCAAACAATCCTTTAGGAAATATTACTTTATAACGGCGACTGTTTAACAGAAATTACTTTTTCCTAAGCACAAACTAACTTTCACTTTACTTTATTAACTTTTACACAAGCTGCTCCTTTCGTCTTTTAGATTATTTGCTTGCTTGCTGGTTCTTTTTAAATCAGCATATTTCCAGGCTGGATCTGTAGTTTAGAGGACTTAGGTTACATCACCCACAGTGTGTGTGTGTGTGTGTGTGGTCCCAAATGTAACTACAATTATAAGGGATCTGACTCCCTCTTATGGCCTCTGCGGATCCTGCATGGACGTCGTGCACTTGCACACAAGCAGGCTAAATACAGACATAAACATTTAAAAATATATTTAAAAATCAGTATATTTCAGTGGCAGAGTGTTCAGCATGCAGGAGGTGCCCCAGATCAGGAAACGTCACAGCTAATGAAATGAATAGAACACGTTCACTAATTCCTGAGCGGACCTCGGGTAAAGTTGAGGTCAGCCTGATCCTCGGGCACACACACTTCCTAAGGGAACCATTATGAAACCTGCATTGTTCTTGTAGGAGCCAGCCATGATAAGCTAAATAGAAACAGACCACCCAAAAGAAGTGGGTGGTCTTTACTTCCAACCATGATCACCTGCCAGAGTAAGACTCAGCCATCCATAATTTTAATGGAGACCCGAGTCTCAGTAGTTTACCTTGAAGCAATACCTGGTTTCAGGAGGAACCACAAACTGATTTTACCCGAGCACCACCCAAGAACAGACCATCCAAAGGAAATGTCTAACATTCCTACTGTTGTAGATAGGATCTCCTGTCAGCACACTCACCAGGACACCCCTAGACAAATGTCAGCCAATCAGGGGTCCTGAACCTTAGAAACCCCTCACCCCCACCTTTACTACTATAAAAACCCAACTCTAACTAAGCTCGGGGCTCTCCGTTTATTCCAATACGTTGGACTTGCGGAGAGACCGAGTTTGAAAACTTGCATAAAATACAAGCTCTTTGCGTTTACATACGGAAGTCGGTCTCCTTGTTGGTTTGGGGGGATTTCGCGGATCTGGACATAACAGTTCTGCTTCTGTAACTTCAAGACTTTCTGCTCCCCGACCAAACCGAGAAGTCATGGCAATACACCTGTGCCCCATTTTCGCTAAAAGTTCATAACCCGTCGTGCTTGCCAACAGCCACCGCGTGAACGGAAGTACTGAGCCTGTGGTTTACCCTTTATAATACCGTCATTATCGAGTCGGGGCCGCCTCTCTAGACTAGCAGTCTCAAGATTGTGTGCCTTCAGTCGGGTCCGTGTGGCTCAATAAAAACTTCAAATTCATAACGAGCTCGTCCTGGGTTCCTTTTGGGTGAAAACAACCCGGCTACAACACTACCACTGTTACCATAACAATTTATTCTCAAGACCTAAGAGATTTTTTTTTGAGACTCTTCAAGATTGCAAAGTAATTAAAGGGCATAGTTTAAGGAACTTTCCGTATAAAGTATTTTTCTGCCGCACCGCCGTCACTCCAAGATACTGGCATAGCTATCTCCTTGTGCGAAGGAGAGGAGTTGGAGATAGAAGCGGTACTGGAAGCCCGGACAACCCGGGGCTTCAGGGGAGAGTCGGAATGGTGCTGGCTCCTTAAAAAAACCTGGCGGGATGCGGACTTTCAAAAGAAAACGGACACTCCAGAGCAGAAGAGCGGGAAGAAAGTGCTCAGAAGCATATGTAGCCCTAAAACTGTGTGTGCTGTCACGGAGCTTTGGGGACCATTTCAATTTATCGATAGATAGTCTAGTGAAAAGAAGGTCTCTTGAACATTTGTTTAATGTAAAAGTTCCTGGGCTAGGAACGGTAAACCAGATCCAAGGTTTAAGATCCACCTGCAAGTCCCGCAGTTGTAGTCCCGCTACCTTAAACCCAAACCACCTGGGAAGGCGCAATTGGTCGCCTCTCTAGGGCGCTTCGCCGAACTCTATGGTCGCAGCGCAAGCGCAAAACCCCTCCCGTCGCACAAAGGCGGTGGAAGGAAGGTTTTGCGCCTGCGTACTGCGTCTCTCCGGCGGGAACGCCCACATCTCCTGCTCCCGGCCAAAGGCATGCGGTGTTACGCCTGCGTCCTGAGGACTTGCGGGACTTTTGTCACACTGGCGGCGGCGGTGACGTAGTGGCTGAGGAGGAGGGCGTGAAGGAGCGACGGAAGCCGAGAGGGACCTGGGGCGGAAGGGGACCCGGGCCAGGCTTGTGTTCGGTTCCTTGGCGGGGCTGGGGTTCCGATGTGGTCCCCGGAGCGGGAGGCCCAGGCCCCGACCGGGGGAGACCCGGCGGGCCTCCTGCCGCCCGAGTGGGAGGAAGATGAGGAGCGCATGTCTTTCCTGTTCTCCGCCTTCAAGAGGAGTCGCGAGGTGAACAGCACCGACTGGGACAGCAAGATGGGCTTCTGGGCACCGTTGGTGCTGAGCCACAGCCGCCGCCAAGGGGTGGTGCGCCTGCGTCTGCGGGACTTGCAGGAGGCCTTCCAGCGGAAGGGCAGTGTCCCGCTGGGTCTGGCTACGGTGCTGCAGGACCTGCTGCGGTGAGGACCCGGGCCGTGCGGGCCAAGCCGGGGGGCGGCTCCCTAGGGCTGACTTCAGACCTGCCCTTTGACAGCCCGGACTAAGAGTCCAGGGTTCGTTCAACGGGTGGAGGAGGAGGGCGGGGGGGGGGGGGGTGCGGCTCCACGGATGTGTGGAGAAAGAGAAAGAGGGATCGCGGTGGAATGACCGTAGTCATGAATGGTCCAGACGAGAACCATCGTGGCAGCGGTGGCAGCGGCACACTTGGGCTGGGATCCCGATATGCAGTTATTTCAGCAGCTCCTCTGGATTTGGATTACCTCCGCAGCAGATCTCTGAGATGGGTACTTTGAACTGAGGAAGGAGGGAGTTCTCGTCGGGTTATAGACATCTTGACAAGAGAACTCTGGCACAGGTCATACAACTGGCATGCTCAGGACTGAGACTGGATCAGAGGACAGGGGAGTTTAACTGGGTATCTGGGGCCCCGGAAAGGGCTTTAGGTGGTAAGTGTATGACAGGTAGAGTGTTCAGGTCATGCTTGAAGATTTGACATATCTAATAGATGAACGATACTTCATAGTTTTAGATACTTTTATACTCGAGTCTCTGGCCTTTTCAGTAATCCAGGGCAAGATAATACAGTTATCCTCATTAAACATAAGAAACCGAGACCCTGAGAGATCAAGTAATCTATGCCCAGATTACACAGTAAGAGTCACCCCAGCACTGGTCCCTGGTCTTTGGATTCTAAATCATTTATTTGTGTTTCACACTGCATGTATTATGTCCAGCCCAGCCTAGCATTGTGCCTCTTTCAGTGAATACAGAGGAAGTCGAGGCTGTTGTATTTAGCATAATGCTTTCTCACTAAATGGCAACCCATTTTTACTTCCCAGTGCCTTTCATTGCCTGACCTTGACCTAAGAAACCTTCTAAAATTGTCCTCTGAGAAAGTGTGCTGTGAAAAAAGTTTTACCTGTTGCCTGAAGTGAAAAATAGTTGAGTCAATGAGGGACTAAACCAAAACAAGCCCCTTAATGCAGGATAGTCACGGCCCATGTCCAAATCCGGAGACCTTTAACACCTTGAAACTGCCTGTCCAGGCTGCCGAATCTTGAAGCTCTCTGGTACTTATCCAGGTTTGCCATCCATATATCAACAGCTTTGCTTGAGGGCTGCACAGTTATGCCCAGATCCCGGCTTTACCTTTTTCTAAGCGGTGGCCCTGCATAAGTAACATGCCATCCGTAAGACTTTGACCAATTATCAAATTACAGTGATGGCATTATGTAGGTTGGTTGTTAAATCTTGAGGATCTTTATATAACCCTTAACACAATGATTACCCGTGCCAAGCATTTACTAGACTTGGCCGCTGTTGTTACCACTACTCGGAAATATATTTCACTTCCAGCCCGGCTTAGAGGTAGTATAAGACCCTGCTGTGTGTAGTTTTGTTTCCTTCCTTAGGTCCAACCTATTGCACGGGGTTTCATTTGATTGTTCCCAGGCCCAAAGGTAGAAGGAAACCTCAGCTTGGGCCCAGTGAAGCCTTTTGTGCCTCTGTTGTCTTAGTGGGACACTTGCAATTTTGGAGCCAGACAAATTTGGTGTCATCTGGCCTCCTTTACTGTCTTAGACCCTCAGTCTCCTCCTTAGTTAACATACTGCTGACACCGTCTATTGTGTGAAGTGGTTAGGAGGCTGAACACGGAGTGCAGGTGGCCCTGCTCCAATAAGTGATGATGATGATGATGATGCTATGCCTCTGAGGGTAAAGGTCATTGCATTTCATGTCCCTACATGCCTTTGTCTCTCTTTCTGTGCAGTCGAGGCGAGCTGCAGCGAGAATCAGACTTCATGGCCAGTGTGGACAGCAGCTGGATCTCCTGGGGGGTTGGAGTCTTCCTGCTGAAGCCCCTCAAGTGGACTCTTTCTAACATGCTGGGGGATAACAAAGTTCCAGCCGAGGAGGTGCTCGTGGCGGTGGAGCTGCTTAAGGTGGTCATGCAGAATGGGGGCAGGGAGCTGGGTGGCATCCGGTGTGACAGGGTCACCACAAGCATTCTTAGGAAAATACTATCTCTTTGCCAAGTAATGGGACCAAGACTGAGTCTGCATGATGTCTTTTGCCGTGAACTTTGTTGGGTTATTTTTACATTTCAAGAGTGAGCTTTGTCTGGAATTGTCAGTAACAGACAGTTGATCACGTCCTGGCAGTTGAGGGCGTTAATGAGAAGCTATAGTTTAGGGTGTCCTCTGCCTTCTCTAGTTTACTGCAAGAAATTCCCAGTGTTTAATTAATTCAATTAACTGATGTATTTATGATTGTACTTGCGATTTAACCTTGGCCCTAGAGTGCATTGGGCAAGCGCTCTGCTACCAAGCTCCAGCTTACTGAGCTATAATTTCCTTCCCTCCAATCTCTCTTCTCTGTCTAGCTCACCAGTGACTTGCTTCTCACTGTCCCCACTCTGCCTGGATGAGGCCAGAGGCACCATCCCTTCCTACCCTGCTGCCCAGTCACCTTCACAGCTACCTTTTCCTCCTACCCCAGGCCACGTGCTGACTGCAGGACAGATGTGATCTCAGAGCCCTGAGCAGCTACACTTCTCTGCTGCTCCTCACTAGGAGCTGGGTGGGAACCAACAGTCACTTTCTAAAGCAATGTAGTCAGTCTGATCTTGTGTGGTAGAGAAGTAGGCCTAGAGCGCGACAGGGCACAGTGGTGATTCTGCCACTTCACGTTCCATTTGATGACATCTGATTTCAAATATGTGGTGAGTCCTGCTTTCTCAGAAGTAATGGCTCATCATGTTGGGTAAAGAAGAGGGTATTTATAGGGAGGAACATGTAAGGAACATGGATTTTTTTCCCCTAAGACTAGACAAAAAAAAAAAAAACAACCAAAAACAAAACAAAACAAAATTTTCTTTTCACTCAGTAGAATATAGGTATCCTAAAATCTACATTTTGACCTCTTGATGTGTTAGTAAAATATAGAGAATATATTTTTTTATCAAACTGAATGCCTTTGACAGTTCCCAGTTCATGTTCAGTTTTCTTCCACCCTGTACTGGGAATGATGCCCTTTCTTCCAACCTTTCATCGTTGCTTTCTGGTTTCCGTGGATTAGCATCTTTGCTGGATCTCTGAGCATGCTTTGGCAGGAGAGCATGCCATGCCAGTCACAGTAGCGTTAGTGGTGCTTGCCTGGTCAAGATTTGTCTCTCTCTCTCACACACACACACACACACACACACACACACACACACACACACACAAAAGCACACACAAGCACACACACAAGGAGGCATCTGGGATGAGTTGACTAACACTTTCACTTTGAATCAACTGACTTTGTAACAGTTACATTACTTTTTGTTACTTT